TTCTAAGAAGAGTAGTGCTATGCGCACCGAGCGTTATGTAAACTGTATCATACCGACCTGAAGGCGAAATTATACTTCTTTTTAACAGCGCTGGTGAAACATTCCTATTATAGCGTGTTTCAGTTTTACAGGAGCGACCAAACCAGGCACCACAAATGATACAATAAAGAGTTCCATTCGCTGAAGTATCACATCAGTGACAGAATCACGTTGGGATCATCCAGCGAGAAGCATACTCGCCCCTGTCCTCAAGGGAAGGATGCAAAATAAGACCGCATCCTATGCCAATCGGCCAACCTATAGTGACAAACACGGCGGCGATCTGCAGAATGCAACCGCGAATCGGTAGTGTGAGTGGCACTATAGTCCGGATCAGACAATGGTCCAATGAGCCAAGAGGGGCATCGGCGGAGACCTGATATCCGTCTGGATGAGAAGTCAGCAGAAGATCCAACAGGGAAGTTGCACGGTCCTCCACATCTACAATCTGCGTGGGCGAAGTAACCATTTGTGTCAGACCATATGCCAAGGCAAATTCATAAATGGATCTTCCAGCATGATCGGTTAAAAAAAACTAAGCCATTCAGCGTGATAGCCATTAAAATCACCAAGGATCACGATCTCTGCTGATAGGACCTTTTGTAGCACGGAGTCTGCAGCAATTCGGACGTGGTCGATGAGTTGCTCTGTGACGGCATTACCTATAGAGTCACTCGTAGACGCGAGGATGGTCTTCGCTGACCTTCAAGACTGCCGAGGCGCCGAGAACAGATGTCCTCTCTGACGTATACGCAAACACCACCTATTTACCTCCAGCCCGAGACACAAAGATGTTCTAATTTATACCCCGGATAGGAGAGAATTATCGACCGGAGAGGACACCTGCGTCTCGGTTAGAAAGAACAAGTTCGGCTTCGCCGTCTTCAAATGGTACCTAGTGGACTTCGTTAACATCCGAATGAAATCCGCTTATGTTGCAGAAATTCACGGATTGCGTGACAGGGGTCACCTTTATCTTATTGCTCTACTTGCCCTGAGCAGTATTAGTCTTGAGCGGAATTTTGCCCCGCCCATCCCCAGGATACGCGAGGCAGCCTGAGCACCCGCGCTAAGGAAGAGTAGGATAGCTTGGGCGTCGATGCTCAGCTAGGGATTCTCCAATACCAGAGGTGCTGGTACCCTCTGGGGATGGTTTCTTATTTAATTACACTACCATATTAAGGGGGAGAGAGGTTAGGCATCCGACCACCTGCACTTACCAGGCGATGTAAACTTCTACTTCACGCTGGTTATCTGTAAGGTCGTGGTCCAGCCATTCATTACAATCATTCATTACAGCTCTTTATTGCATGTCTTACCAGGTCGTCACTCCATCTAGTCTGGCCTACCCTTGCGACAGCAAAAGCAGCAGTGTGGCTCTTCCACTGTTATGTTGTCTGTCTATATTATTAACTGCAATCTACTTCGTCATTATTTATGCGTTACACATAATACTTAGTAGTAAGTAGCTTTGCTTTACTATGCCCTGCAGTGGGCGACAAGGAGCTGGTGATGAAGTAGTTTTGCACCTTTAAACTATTTAGCTTAGCTTAAATAGGGCCCCAATTTCATTTTTGCCCCGGGGCCCTTGGTTACATAGCTACGCCACTGAATATATAGAGACTTGTACGAAAATTAAATAAATTATAAGTACGTAAAAAATGTTAATAGGTACATATAATTAAAAAAATATCATACTTATAAAATACCATTATATCCCTTGATTGGTTAAGTTTTTATGTAAATAATGCTACTAGTTCATTATTATTTGTTTACGCCAACACTGTGATAATAGCAATTTAACAAATCAAAGACAAAAAAATGTTTTTGCTTTGATGTGTAATGATAATTTCCTTATCATTAAGAACCTTGTGAATTTCCACACAATAAAAGTGTTATTTATTATGTAAACCTAAATAAAAAATAGAAAAATATCTAAAAAAATTACCAATGTATTCCAACCTCTAGATTACAAATCTGATATAACACAAACATAATCACCATAATAGCATATTATCAGTATTTTGCTTGAGGGCGTCGATTTATTTTGCAAAATATACACTATCAAGCTGACCAAAAATATACTTACCTTCTTATAATCCCTGATTAAGTTGCTGACCTGGTATAGCTGCCGGTCTTTTAAGACCGACAAAAACATATTATGCTGTCAAAATAACTTTTTAGCTAATTTTTCTTGCTGACCGAAATTTAAAAAAATACCATTTAATTACTTGCCTTAAACAATTATCAGGAGTGTCCGTTGATAACCGTTACATCCTACTAAAGTCACTGCTGAGCATAGGCCTCACCCACCTTTAGGGGTGTATTTGTCATAGTTGCCACGTTTGCCAAGCGGTTTAGCAACAGCAGTTTTTTTAGTCGATATTAGGAAGACGCTACTGCGCAACTCATGATTTGTTTCCCCCTGCCGCCAAAATTAAGTCGGGGAAAAAGTTTCTTAGTACTTTATACACAAATTCAAGACATTTTTTTTTCAAAGTTTAATTACTTACATTTAGTTATAATATATATGTGCCATTTTGTTCGACAACTTGTTGCCATCTTTTAGGTAGTGTCACTACCCTATTCCCGTTGCTGTAGAAATCTTGGGATTTTGGTCAAAAAATTGCGACAAGTAGTTTTGACAGTCCTTTCTTGATGTTAACCTAACACTACCCAAAGAATTCTGAAGAGACCAAAACAGGTGAAAATCTGAGGGTGCAAGGTCAGAACTATACGATGGATGCATTAACACTTCCCAACCAAGCTCTCTCAATTTTTGCTGATTGGCCAAAGATGTGTGTGGTCAGCGTTATCATGATGAAAGACCATTCCTTTTCTGGTGATCAATTCCGGCCATTTTTTCTCAATTTCTTGCTTGAATTTCATTAGTTGTTGGCAGTAGAGATCCAAATTGATGGCTTCGCCCGGTGGTAAAAGCTCATGATAAACGATGCTCTTCCAATCCCACAATACGCAGCATCATCTTATTGCGTGTTAATCCGGGATTCGCTACGGTCTGTGGAGCTTGACTATCCTCTATCAATCTTTTCAAAAATGGTTCGGTTTCATTACGTTTCAATAGAGAATCGCAAATTTTATACGTGGTAAAGCCATGCTACAGTTATATTAATAATATAGTTGTAGCACTAATAGGTCGGCTCAACCGGGGAAGGACCACGCTCTCACAGAATACCAGCTCAATGCGGCTGTATTTCGTTTGGTGAGTGTAGAGAACCGGAGACCTTTTTTACTGGAAAGGAGACATTCCATCTTAATCCTCACGGCTGACAATTTATACGCTAACGAGTATAGATTTAGTCGTCTATGGGCCACAGCAACCACTTACCATCTAGTGGACTGTATGCTCGCTTATCACCCCTATCCTATAAAATAAATGAGTACACGATTCATTAGGTTTCTTTCAGTGAGCTCGTGTGGTACCCAAATATCGAGCTTTTTTGTATAGCCAGACTTTTTCAAATGGGTCAAAACTGCTTAGTGGTCAATTCTCAATTTATCGGCTATGTCGTAATTACTAATATGCCGATCTTGCTCCACTTTTTCAAAAATGGCATATGATATGAGGACGACCATAGCGAGCTACATCTTTGGCATCAAAATTCCCGGACTGAAAGTGCTTGAACCAACTTTGTGCTACCCTTACTGATACTGCATTTGGCCCATAAACGTAATAAAGTTTTTCGTGGCTTGAGTCGCATTTCTTCATAAAACTTCAGAATGCATCGAAGTTCTTCGTTAGATTCACTCATTTTGGTGGACAAACAATTGAAAAATGGCGGGAAAGTGTTTTTTACTTTTTCTTTTTCTTAACATCTTATATATAAGATTTACATAAAAACCAGATACAAACAGTATAATCAAAGAGATGATTCTTCAATTTTATACATACAAAATACGAAGAAACCTTTTCCCCGACCTATTATGGTAGCTTAACATTTCCATTAATCTTAAGTACATCAAATTTAAATCGACTAGATACATCCACTACCGCCTTTCCAACATTGAGGATTCGCCACCACCAATCACCACGCCAAATTGACGATCGTAATACTAAATTTTTTGAAATTTTACCATGCACCTCGTGTTAAGTATTAAATATTATTGGTCTAACATAGGAAGGGTTGATTTTAACTACTATATGACAGTGATATGTGGATGCAGCGTAAGAGAAATCAGCAGCCCGTTTTGTCCCGTGAATGCTGTAAGTAAAACTATGGGAAATCTAAGAAAGATATAATGATGAGAGATATCATAAATAGCGGTATAACCAGGTATAACTATCTCGGTAACGGCAAACTGGCGACGGGGAGCGGCGTCAAAGGTGCGTGACATCGGTTACCTCGATCCCAATCCGACTGCCAAAAGTGGTGATAAAAGCAAATTCTAGAGACCAATTTTCAGCAGTAGACTTTTATGAATTGCTGAAAAAGAACAATAAGAAGATAATGCAATGATTTAATACAATGCCAATTGATTTTAATGAAATCCTACCATATATAAAAAAAACATTTTCAGTTTTGAATAGTGAAATATTTAATTCTTTCATAATTTATGACAAGATAGGGGCTTTAAAATTCTTTAGTAGAATATATACACTATACACTCTAGTATATCAAAACGATGTATTCTATTACGACGTCACCAATTCGGATCACATATTCCCATACAATACCTATACAAACGGAAATAAACTACAATGATAAACTACAAACACACAACCTCTTCCGTAATCGGATAAAAAGTTGCCTATATGTTATATTCGGTCATTTACTGTCTAGATACAAAATTTCATGGAAATCTGTCGAGTACTTTTTGCGTAAATCGTGAACACACAATTTTTCTACAGATTTATTATATGTATAGATATAGATGTATAGATTAATCAGATGTCACGGTTAAACAAAACGTTAATGTACAACAATTTCTTATTTTTCCAGTCTCTATTCATGTACAGAATTGCAGCCCATGTTGTAATAGCTCTCATCTTTGGATATTTGTATTTTGGTGTGGGGAGCGAAGCGAGCAGTGTTCTCGGAAACTATGTTTACTTGTATGGATCAATGTTACTCGTAGTATACACCGGAAAGATGTCGGTAACACTTTCATGTAAGTATTACTAAAGTTTTGTTTTTCAAATATTTTTATAAGTTCAATATTATGGAAAGTAATAGAGATAATTTGCACAGTGAAACCGCGGCACGATGTTTATTTTTTAACGTAAAATATGCGTAAAAATATAAAAATAAATAAGACCTGTATAGAGAGAGCATACACCTACATTTTAAGACGTTATAATTTTGTGACAACAGAACAAACATAATAAGTAGATAATGTTTCTTAAGCGACATCGGAATCCTAATAAGTTAATTAACTTTACTATTATAACTATTATTATAATTATTATAATATTGATGATTTTATAAAGAATAGAATGATTTAAAAACACTTTAAAAATGTTAAAAGTATTTTGAGACGGACAGCAGCATCTTCCTGTAACAACCCAAAATAATAAAAAACTGCGGTTGCCAAGCCGTTTGTCAAGCATAGCAACTATGGCAAAATCTCCCCATGAGGTAACCTATTGGGGCCTATGTTCAGCAGTGGACTTTTATAGGCTGTATCGAAAATACAATTTTCTGTCCCAGCGCCTTATTTATTTAAAAAGCAATTCTGTCACTTGAAAGCAAATGGATGTTGTGACCCAGGCATTTACATCCATGATCGATTAGGAATCAAAATGCAGATGCGTTGTCACCCTTGAAGTCTAAGATGGAATGCCTTGTTTCCAGTAAAAAATAAAAAACCGGCAAAGTGCGGGTCGGGCCCGCGCATTAAGGGTTCCGTAACGTGTTTACGGTGGGTAAGCACGTTTATAGTAGGGGAGCACCTTTTAATTTTTAATTATTTTAACTTTTATTATTTTTTGCTATAACGGTAACAAAAATACACATTCTGTAAAAAATTCAACTGCCTACCTATTACGGATCATGAGATACAATCCGCTGACAGATAGATGGACGGACGGACAGCGGAATCTTAGTAATAGGATCCCGTTGGTTACCCTTTGAGTAGGAAACCCCAAAAAGGTTCTCCGGTTCTCGTACACTCTCGTACATACGAAACACGCTTTTTTAGGCTGGTATTCTGTGGGAGCATGATCCTTCCCTGCTCGAGCCGACTCACTCGTGCTACAATGTTTTTTACACGTGGTAGAGCCATGCTGCAGCTGTATTAGTCCATTTAAGCGTCAAATAGCAGCTTAACACTGCTGTGTTTCGTATGGTGAGTGTAGAGAACCGGAGACCCTTTTTACTGGAAAAGAGGCATTCCATCTTGGTCCTTACGGGTGACAACGCATCTGCATTTTGATTCGCAAACGAAGATAAATGTAGATGTCTATGGACTACAGCAACCACTTACCATCAGGTGCACTGTGTGCTCGTTTGTCACCTTATCCTATAAAAAAAAAAAGAACCAAAATATAGCTGCAGCGTGGCTCTACCACGTGTATAAAACATCTTAAGTGTTATGATGTGTTAGTGTACATCACTGCTTTACAAATATTAACATAGTAGTAAATAAGCAAAAAGTATCGATAAGTATTAAAAGTATAAGAATATCAATCAATTAAAGCAGTTTCGCTTTAATACTACTTTTTTTAAATATTACAGAATAGAATAGAATAGAATCATTTTTATTCAATATAGATTACAATACATAATACTTATTGAAAGCCATTTCTGACTTTTACCACTAGTTTGCAAAAAAAAAACCTCTGTCCTGGGAAGAACCAGCAAGCCACGAGGAACCCAGCAGGACTTTTTATAAAACTATTTGTACACTATATATAAAACTCTATATATATAAACACCGTTAATACTATTTAACAAAAAAAGTTATTTCATTGTTGCAGTTCCTTTAGAAATGGATATCCTAAAAGGCGAATATTTTAATCGCTGGTATAACTTAGGACCGTACATATTTTCAATTTTAGCGGTTGAACTACCATTTCAGGTAACCTTAAAGATTATTATCTGTGTTTAGTTTGTATTAAAAACCAATTTTCATGTAGGTTATCACAGTTTAATACTTAAAATAGGTTCTAGCACTTACATAACTGCTTTTTATTATATAAGTATTAGATAGCCAGAAATGATTATTGGTCTACAAATGGTTCACTGCTGTACATGAGACTCACTTCTTAGGAGGCCTTACCTTAATCACCGCGCTTGTCTTACCGCAGACTAACCATCTACACAGGACAACGTGTACGAATGCGTGTGCCAGCACAGGTGAATTCTAAATTTCTTCACTCCCATAGTCCTATGAGACGGCAATCCGAAACGACCGAGGAAAGATCAGGCACCGAACCACTTGCTTTAAGTTGTTTCTGTGGCACGGAGGTGAAAGACCGTTACCGCCTTTTATCTTCAAGCTGCTGCCGAGACTTTCTGAAAAAAAAATTCTCAATAACTGATTTCGGCCCGACTCGGGATTCCAACCTGGGTTCCACACCACATGATCAGCGGTCGTGCTTACGACCACTAGGCCAACGAAACGTCCGGTTTACTAGCGATCCCGAAGTAATGGACGTTTTTCATCTTTATAGCTGGTCGCTGGCCTGCGTATTTTATATTTGACATTAATACGACATGGTTTTCCGGAAGCTACAATATCTTCTAAGCCTTTCTCCGAGTCGCTGTTACGACACCGACGGCATTCGATGAGGTAATCCACCACAGGAAATGTCTTAGCCAATTTTTCAATTTAGTCTTACATATAACCGTATTATCCCAACAATTGCCTTATCACCAACCCACGGACTTCTGGACATGGACCTTTTTCATTGCAGGGAAGATTTGCCTTAAGGGAAGTTACAAGTAGTCTCGCATCTTACTTGCACTTTACTCCGCTTCACCGCACCAGAACTAGTAATTTATATACTTAGATCACAGACGAGATGGTTACATTGTCTTTTAAATTTTATAGCAGGCAATGAGTATTTATTTTGATAGTAGTTCTTATAAAAATATACTAAAACAAATCATCTATACGTGGTCAACATTGTAATAATTACAAGCATCAAAAAATTTTGAACGTTCCACCTTAAAATAAATTCTAAAATTTACTTATAAAAATGTAATTTAATTTTTGTAATTCAATTCTTTTCAGATGATTTCTTGCGTTTCATACGTGGTACTATCTTACTGGCTAACGGATAACCCATTGGAGCCAACGCGAGCAACACTATTTCTAGCCACCATTGTAGCTACATCGCTTTGTGCACAAGCGTGGGGCTACTTTATTGGTTCTACGACACCAACAAAGGTAATTTTTTTCTTATAAGTTAAGTGAAAAGAAAGGAGTAAGATAATCATAATATGTTATCTGTGCTCGCGCTTTCCCCACTAATCTGAATATATCACAAAGCGATATTCACTCGCAGCCGCACCGGTAGAGGAACTGCGATTTTATTTCGAAACTCGCTAGATCGCAATGTTGTGCGGATACCTACCCGCAGTGGAGGCGTAATGCCCACAAACTTAGCGGGAATTTATTGCAAGTCAGGCAAACGCATAAAAGACAATAAAAATGAATTTATTTCATCCATAAGAGGGTTAGTACAAAATATGAACTTACAAATTATGTTAGTAAAACAAAATAAATAAAGATACACTATGACATTAATTTAAATATTTTCCGGGCTAGTTTGTGACACCAGTTATACACGTATGTGTGTATACCCAGTGCCTCACGACTGGACAGTCTGGCTTATCACTAATGACCTTCAGAATAGTGTTGGAACTCCCTCGCACTTTGCGCATAAGAGACACGATTCGTTGGCTTATGTATGCGCTAGCACAAACATCCTTGATGCACTGCAAAATCGCGGGAGTCCCAACATCACTCTGAAGGCATTATTATATTGAACTCGGAGAGCATTGATAGCCCGCTGCGTATAGTTAACCCACGGATTACACGTGTAAATTGTTTGGCTTTAAACTGTGAAATTTCAACTTCTGCGTTACACCTAGTAAATCTGCGGGTCAACATGTTGCAGCGGACTGCCATCCTTTCTCTTTCAATATCACTGTCATCCTTCAAGTCTTCAGTAACTATGTGGCCGAGGTACTTAAAGGATGACACTCGTAAGTGCCACCCCGTTTAAGTTTACTGGTGGAACACAAGCCACTTTACGTTCCTTGGCTTGAAACACCATAAACTCGCTCATCCTTATATTATAAATAAGGCCATGTGATTCTGCAAACTGCTCACAAACTATAGTTAATTTTCTGATAGCAGCGATTGAGGGACTCAACAGCACCATGTCAACAGCGTAACTGATGCTGTTGACACAGTGTCCGTCAAGAGAGCATCCGATCAGTGTGCTGCTGAGTTCCACTATCAGCTGGTTAATGTACAGGTTGAAAAGTAAGGGAGAAGCCAAACTACCCTGTCTCACCCCACTTTCCAACCTGTACTCATCAGAAAATTGTCCAAACCACAACCTGGTTAGTATGATGACCATACCAGTACTTAAAGATATTTACCACATTGGCAGGCACACCAGCGTCAGTCAGCTTAGCCCAGAGTATATCATATCTAACCAGGTCAAATGCCTTCGACAGATCAAGAAAAGCAGCATAAATACATGTTTTCCTACTTGTGTAGTACTTGACAATGTGCTTGAGTGACATAATCGCACATTCATTTGATAGGCCAGGTCTAAAATCAAACTGGGCATCATGTAATTCTAGGTGTTTTTTGAGCTGTATTTCAAGCAAACCTTCAACCTTAGCAGTCACCGTAGCCAATGAAATCGGTCGGTAATTGGCTTTATCGGAAACATCCCCTGTCTAATTCTTCGTTTCATCGGAACCACGATCATTGTCATTAGCTTAGCTGGCAGGTAGTAATGACGCTTACAAATTGTAAATAGCATACCTATGAGTCTCGGTAAGTGCGGCCCTGTGTATAGAAAATGCTCTATGCTGAGGCCCAGGTGCCCCGGCGACTTGCCTCGCTTCATACCTTTTATTACTAAGAACACCTCTTTAGCAGTAATGCGATCCGGCACGTCGGGTACGACCGCATCCGCATTCACACTTTCCCCACCCTTAGCATTACAATTAGAAGGTTGAACTTGAAAATGAACCTTAAACAAATTGGCAATATCTTTTGGGTCACTGATGCCATCAATGCTCATCGGAACGCCAGTCTTAGGACTCATCTTTTTTGTTTGTTTCCGAAATCCCCGAAAATCTTTATCTTTATGTTTAGATACCAAAATATTACTTTTAATTATTTCCTGGTTGTTCTGACAGTATTTAAGTTTCTTTTTGAACAGTTTTTTCGATTCACACATGTCATTATATAGAGAACCACTCCGAGGCCTAACATAGCAAACCCAATTTAGAAACTTTTGCCTGGCATCCCGATGAGCATCCCGAACATGTTTGTTCCAACCTGCAACAGGCCGGCTGGCTTTTCTGTTAGCACTACCCGTACCCACATAAGTGAGCACCGCGGCTTCTTGCAGTGATGTTATAATTTTTAATACAACTTATCTATTATAGCTAAGTGCTCTAAACATTTCTTTGTACATAAATCATCACAACAAGAGTTTAATTCATAGGGAAAATCAGTTTCCCTCAACAATTAATTACAACACTTCGTGTAGCTCTGTATCTGGCGGTCATCCCGATTTCCCCAAACGACTTTGCTATAGTTGTCACAGGATGCACTCGGCAGCCGAATCGTAGGGGTCACAGTTGACATATTACAACTGATCTCTAATGGGAACATTTCCCATTAGAGATCATTATCCGACCAGTACACATCGTAATGAACTTTGACCGAGACAATACAATTCCAATTTTGATCTTTACAAAAATTTAATAATTCATTATCAAAGAACTGTCCTGGATGAGCATTAAAATCCTCTAAAATGTACACAGACTCGATACTACTACTTTCAATTATTGCCGCAATTTCACTTAAGCACTGAACGTATTCTAATAAATTTTATGAGCATTCAGTTGGCATGTAAACAGACAACACAAGCATGGACCGGTGCGACGTGCATATTTTAATCGCAGCAATACGACCACTTTCACACGCAACGAGAGAAACGCAGTCAATCTTCAGGTTGTTCCACAATAACGCGACACCTCCTTACGGTCGCCCGCGTAGAATTCCCTTAGAGGTAGCAACAGCTGATTTTCCGTAATAACTAAATTCTTTAGCCAAGTTTCACATTCCATAGATCTTTTTAGATTTTTACAATTAAAAGATATAAATGTTGTGTTTGTATGTGTACTATTTCTTTCTTTCAGAGTTTAAAGAAACATTAACCAAATCTTTGTCTTTGTTTACATTTCGACCACGAAATTCTATAAAGCGACGAAAAGATATACCATCAGGCCATAGACTTGAATTCATGAACATGGGTAGCTTATGTTTAGGCACAAGAACCTTATAGGACCTGTATTCTTTCTGCTATTTCGAATTAATTTTACGAAGTGACACTTTAACCTCAGTTTTATTATTTATGTAGGATGTCCTCTTCTTGCGTATCTACGTGCACATTTTTTATAAATAACGGGACATAGATATCAGCTGCCTTAAGCTTCTGAATATCCGTACATGTGCCTTTCTCACCTACAAAATGACCGCGACTTACGACAGCTGAGCACGCGGTCACCACTAAGTGATTCTTCTGGTTAGCAACCAGTGCAGCAGCAGCCGCAAAAAACTGCACGCAGCGGGGGTATAAATCTCGTCATAAAATTTACTATAATATTATATTTACATATCTTATAATATATTAGACGTGTCGCGGCCCAGTTACCGCTGCAGGTGCGAGTAAATATCGCCCCATAAAATCCTAGCGTTAAAGCCGAAGTATATACTGAAAATATTGCTCACACCATGAAGATTTTTATTGAAGAGAAAGAATGTAATGAGTAAAAAAGTTATTTGTAGGTGCTATTTAATATAATCGATAACAGTAAATTAGATCATAATAAATATCCCATTTAAAAAAGTACATTTTTCATTTTCCAGATTGCAGTATTCATAGGTCCAGTTTTGGCGTGTTTGTTTTCTATATTCGGCTTCTGTCTCGCCTTATCGGATACTCCCTATCCGTTCCGTTGGCTGCACCACATTTCCTACTTCAGAGCTGGTTTTCACGTCGCTGTTCATTCTGTATACGGCTTTAACAGAACTAAGATTCATTGCGCAAAAGGTGAGTTTCAATCACCATATTTGGTAACCCGTTACGACTTTATTTATTTTTGTAAGTGCTATGTTAAACATTTGTTCCAATGATTAGACATTAAAAACAAAAATCCCAATATATGTATTTTTAAAGAAAATATATAATAGTGGAAATGTATGAAATAAATAAATATTATTTTATGTATTATGGCAGCTAAGCACGAAGTTGTTGACGAGTATGTTTACCTGGGACAAATAGTCCGACTAGGTAAGTCCAACTTCGACCGCGAGGTCAATCGACGGATTCAACTCGGTTGGGCAGCGTTCGGGAAATTACGGCACATCTTCTCGTCACACTTTCCTCAAAACCTTAAAACGAAATTGTACCAGTGCGTGTTGCCAGTGATGACTTACGGAACTGAGACGTGGTCCTTCACTGCTGGCCGTATGAGGAACCTCAAGGTCACTCAGCGAGCTATGGAGAGGGCTATGCTCGGAGTTTCTCTGCGTGATAAACTTAGAAATGAGGATATCCGCAGTAGAACCAGAGTGACCGACATAGCCCAACGGATTAGTAAGCTGAAGTGGCAGTGGGCTGGCCATATAGCTCGAAGAACCGATAACCGATGAGGAAGAAAGGTTCTTAAGTGGCAGCCTCGTACCGGTAGGCGAAGTGTAGGGTGACCCCCCACGAGATGGAGTGACGACCTGGTAAGACATGCAGGGAGTCGATGGATGCAGATGGCTCAGGATCGTGCTTTGTGGCATTCCTTGGGGGAGGCCTATGTTCAGCAGTGGACTTATGAAAGGCTGTAATGATGATGATGATGATGATTATGGCAGCTAAAATAGCCAAAATACCTCAGTGGATAAGAGAAGTAGATTCCCGCGGGCACAAATGAAACTGTTAATTTTAAGTGCTAATTAATTAATATTACTGACGATTACATCACGCATGACAGGCGGATCGGCAATTGGTGTGATGAACGCACAGAGCAAATACCAATACACGTTGCATTACTATAACATAATACAATAATAAAGCATTATGCTGCTATTTTGCTAGTTGAGCTGACCCAATAGTGCCGGCATATACAGCCATAAAGCTAGAATCCATAGTCCCTAAACGTTGCTAAATTTATACATTTGTGGTTATATAATTTACACTGGGTATGTATGTATCATTAATTTTATACTTTTTTTTTCAGAATATTGTCATTACCTCACACCAAGCAAGTTCCTTGTGGAGATGGATATGGCCCACGTGGACATTGGTGGAAATATGGCTCTCGTTCTATCGACCACAGTCCTCATGCACCTCCTAACCTGTGGCGCTCTTTGGTATCGACTTAACAAGAGATGAATTATATTACGCATTTAAACTATTCTGTTAGATTTGCGCAAATCAGTTGCACTGAAGAATGATTTATTTTTAGGTTATGGTATTTATATTAATTATTACGACTTATTACTCGGTGTGCATTTAAAATATCGTAAGTATTGCAGAACAGTATCTTTGACCAATAATAAACTATAAAGCAAGTGACATAAGACTGTATATTCAGTAATCAATGATGTGAACTACCAAAATAGAATGTTAATACTCGTATTTGAAATTTCCTTAAAATTTATAAGATTTAAATTTTTAGGATAACCACATATAATGTTAACGTACGTAAAAGCAACAGACGCTAGTTAATTTTATTATTTATAATTTTTTGTTAAGCATCTACATATTATTATGTAGGTATGTAATAGTTAATACATTAATTGAAATTAAGCGTAGGCCAAAAAACAGGGCTATAATCTTACGCTCTTATAACATGTAAATTAGAGTAGAAGCAAAAAGTTAGATAAATTTCGAATCATTGCTTTAGCACTCACAGACAAACCATCTTTGTTTGTCTGCGAATGCTAAATCCTGACGAAATACTACGTACAAAAAATCACTTGCAACGAACAAGATACTTTTAAATGCTCATATGCATATGCGTGAGTGCGCGTTCTACAACACGTTTCGCATGGTATCGGTATCAGTTGACCGTAGTGTACTATTTGTCTTTATTGCTCTGAGGTACATGTTGCTAAAATATAATCTTATGTAAAACGTACCAGTGTGTGTATCGTTCGAGGCAATTATTTTATGATTATAAAACATTCGCTTTTAACAGACATCTTCATAAGGCAATAATTAATCATATCTTCTATTATTATTTTCAAATCAAACAACACGGTGTTAAGTAGATAGGTAAGTAGTATAATAAGAGCGATAAAAGTGTTTAGTTAATCTTTGCCCAAACCAAAATAAACACAAATGTTATTCCACAATTCCTACTGGAAGCCGAAAATTGTATATTTTATAAACATTTAATGTAATTAAATTCAAGCGACAGGTGCGAGTCGACTGATGTTTTGATGTTTAGATTGAATGAAGAAATATTATTTGATAAAACTGTTAAATTCAAATTTTATTACACCTACATATTATGTACTTAAAGTATTAGTCATTGTTAAACCTTAGGTGTACTTAATATTGTGATTACTTTGATAATCAATAGATAAATCGATGAGTCAACTCGATGTGGGAACGAAGGTTCTACGCTAGCTATGCAGCGTTAATATAGTCGCAATACGAAAGGGTCACACACACTCTCACAGAATACCAACATGAAATGGCAGCTTAATGCTACTGTGTTATGTAGGGTGAGTGTAGAGAACCGGAAAAGCTTTCCACTGTAAACGTGGCATTTCATCCTGGTCGTCACGGGTGACAACGCATTTGCAATTTGATTCTTAATCGAGGATAAATGAAGACGTCTGTGAGCCACAGCATCCACTTACAATCAGATGGACTGTGTGATCGCTTGTCCATCGTCATCATTACAGCCCTTCACATATATATAAAAATACATTTACATTAAAAACTGTTATGTTGCAATTTATAATGTATATAGGCGTGATTTAGGTGCAAATTTCGTAAAACACGGCGTACCTACTTTATTTTCATTTCATGATGTTGCCAAAACGAAATGCCCAATTTCAATGATTTAAAGACCAAATATTAAACTAATACATTACTCGTCATAATACAGAGATACATTTACTGAGGTTATCATCTTACTAAAATCATAAAATAGGTGCAAATTATTCTCAAGATATTTATTGATTTCCTATATTTACATGAATACTAGACATTAAATCAATAGTAAGATATTTATAATTTTTGTAAACAAAAAAGTTGTGATTAATCCATGAAGTTATTAGTATAATATTAGTAACACCAATCTTAACCCTTTTGAATATATTGTTATAAAGTTCAATTCATTGGTATATTTTATAGTCCTTTCTATTATAGTTAACGCAACCAAAAAAAAAAAAATTATTGATGAATTTTTAGCACCATGGATTATGAGAACCGTAAACACTTTAAGTACTGTTAACGAGGCATTCCATCTTGTGCTTAGGAATGACAACGCATCTGCATTTTGATTCCCTATGAAAGAATCAAAACGCAGACGCGTTGTCACCTCTAAGATGTCTCTTTAGACACCTAACCTTAGACGGGCCATGTGTTCGCTATCCTTACTCTAAAAAAAAAACATCGCGAACGTTCTTTAAAGTTTTTTTTTTCTAAATAAAGATAATTTAGGCAAATTAAGGAAATAAACTTACTGTTAACTAATATTTAACATAATATAACTTATGTTATATTATGTTAAATATTTGTTAATAGTAAGTTTTTTATTGCCATTATTAAATGGTTTATTTGAAACCGCAAACTTTGCGGACTAGTATTTTTGTCTAAGGGTTAATTAATCAATTTTCGGATAAAGGTTATCCATTAAAGAAACTATAACTTGACTGAATAATTATAAAAGTGAAACAGCGAACTATTACTTAACTTATTTTATCGGCTCCAGTGGCTTAGCAATGAATTGCTGCACCGAGGGCCGCGGATTCGTATCCTGCACGGAATAAATATAATTGTATGGCCTACAAAAAATTGTTCCAGATCTGGATGTTTGTCCTTGTGAAATTTATGTATGTAAACTGCTTCGACGATAGAGGACAAAATCTTAGTATAGAGGTACCTAACGTTTTTGAAAAAAATTGATAAATGATAAAATTATTACTATTCATACAACAGTTATTCATAATTTGTTTATGTTGTATTTAATCCTTTATTACAAGTAAGTACATAAAAGCAACCAAACGTCAAATAAGTCCAAGTTATAAATGTGATATCATTATACGAGTAATTCTATCTAGAGCTTAAGTATGTCGATTGAACCCAAAATGTATATTTTTATACTGAATACAATAAAATAAATATACTTGTATAAACTTATTTTGTTTCTTTTACGTTACATTAGCATGCCACAAAGCAAGTTCCGGAGCCATCTGCATCCATTGACTTCCTGCATGTCTTACCAACTCGTTACTCCATCTAGTGGGGGTCGCCCTACGTTTCGCCTGCTGGTACGAGGCTGCTACTCAAGAACCTTTTTTCCCCATCGGTTGTCGGTTATTTGGTTTATTATTATAGCTATAAGACCTGCCCATTGCCACTTCAGCTTACTAATCTGTTGGCCTATGTCGGTCACTCTGGTTCTACTGCACATATCCTCATATGTAAGTTTATCATGCGGAGAAACCCCGAGCATAGCCCTCTCCATAGCTAGTTGAGCGACCTTGAGTTTTCTCATCCAGCCAGCGGTGAAGGACTACGTCTCAGTGCCATAGGTCATCACTGGCAATACGCACTGGTTGTACAGTCTCGTTTTCAAGTTTTGAGGTATACTTGACGAGAAGATGGGCCGTAATTTCCCGAACGCTGCCCAGTCGAGTTGAATCCGTTGATTGACCTCTAGGTCAAAGTTGGACATACCTAGTCGGACTATTTGTCCTAGGTAAACATACTCGTCAACAACTTCGAGTTTAGTACTCCCAACAACTACCGGCACCGGTGTGACATGGACGTCCAGGTCACTAATCATATATCCACATATCAAATATTTGATAACATTTGATCAACTAGTATATCATTGGCTCTATTGTTTTGCATGATAAAATTCAAGCTGTTGATTTTCACATTTGAATCTATGGTTATTTAGTCATCTTTTGAATAAAAATAGTATTTAATATTTACGGTACCATTTCTTCAAAGCCAGTTTAGGTATCTTCATGAGAGTGAAAAATCTTAATAATATACTTACGCCTGTCACACAGAGGGGCAGGCAGAGACTACGGAGTTTCATTTCGCACGATCCTGATAGACGCCTCTCACTTTTTTTCATATATTATCTTCCCATAAGTGTTTGTCAATTAAGGACACTTAATGTGGTTCATCATAATATATCGCCAGTATATTATCGGTCGTTACATTTGAATTGTCACACTTTACTGCTTCCGCCAGGTAGGGACTTTGTATCTTTGATTTTCCACAATAGAATGAAGAGCCACATTCACTCTTTCTTTCCTTGTCTTTTTTACTATCCTAAATACCCACTCATCCTCTTACTCAGCTACCATTATATTCTTTTTACATAAATCGTTTTACTTTCTTCTTTTTGAAAAATTTTCACTCTCGTCTTATTTGCGTTCACTTTTATTCCCGTTTCTTTTAATGATACTTTCATTAATGTAGGTAACCACTATTTGCACCTCGCCCGCCCACGATACAAATATGACTTGATCGACTAACTCGCCTATTTTTAGCCTACATTCTTCTACTTTCAAGATTTTCAAACTATTTTTCATAAACTGATTGAATAGCCACAGGGAAGCTACACAACCAACACAACCCTGTTTGACACCTTATAGATGCCACACCTGTCCTTTTAGGCCCGTTGCACAAGCACTAGAGTTTCTATAAACATATTTGATTGCCTGTGTCAGCCCAGTGCTCTACCTAAACGCGGCCAGCGTTTGCCGCTAAGCAACCCTTCTCTATCATAGACCTTATCCTCTGTCATAGACCTTATCACAGTCTAAAATCGCAAAGAAAACTTTCTGGTTTTTGGGCAAGACTTCTCTGTGATCATGCGCACAAAAAATACCTGATTCATACACTCCATCCTTTTTATCACTCCAGGTTGCACATAACCTTTTTCATCAATTTCTTTCATAACTCTTTCAGTAAACACCTTAACGTACAATTTTGCAATAATCTAAGCAGACTGATTCCGCGGTAGTTTTTACAATTCTGCTGAGGCCCTTTGTGGTAACAGTGGGAATATAAGGGCTTTGCACCTATATTTCCCAGCATAAATTAAAGAAAGTGCAGCATTTCTAATGACATTTTATACGTGGTAGAACCATGCTGCAGCTATATTAGTAGTATAGTAGTAGCACGAATGGGTC